CAGCAAAAGGATGAACTAGGAAACAAATTTAGTAAAGCATGACAGGGAAGCTTGGAGGTCAGTGCCTCAGAAAAGGGAGAGACAAAGACATTCCAAGCTAGCAACCATTTATTGGGTATACACAATGATTGGAGGGACTATCAGATGCCTCAGAGGGCAGTGGTGACCTTATGCTAATAAGGATCTTTATGTTGACAAGGACAGTGGAGAGATATGGCAGGTTATGGAGTTTGTCCTTTACTCAAGGTGAAACTATTTATTACTACTGGGTTCTCAAGGAATCAGGATGTTTTCAGGTGGTGCAATCTTGCCCTGGGGTGTCACAGGACCATTGAGGCCTCAACTGTTACTGGAGGCACATGGACTTATGTTCACACCTACCATAGCTGGCCTGCATGGCAAGACACTAGGCCTCCAACAAACCTAATCACAATTTAATTACGAAATGATTTTTCCTCAACAATTATATAGCATTATCCTCAACAGTGGCACATGTCTATAATTCCAGCACTTGGGGAGGCTGAGGCAAGAAGATCATGAATTGAAGGCCAGTCTCTATAGTGAGATCTTGTCTCAATAAAATATTCAGATTACATTTTGAAATATTTACTTTATTGGATTAAATACATTAAAATTTTACATTACCTTTTGTGACATGGTGTCTATTTAACATTACATATGCGACTTGCATTAGTATATATCTGTTGCATAGAGTACCATTGTGTGTGTGTATGTGTGTGCACGCACTGGGAATTGGACCCAGGGGATTGCATAAACTAGGCAAGAATTCTACCACTGAGCTACACTCTAAGCTCTTTTCACTTTTAGAGAAGCTATCACTAAGTTGCCCAGGTTCGCATTGAACTTGTATCCTCCTGCCTCAACCTTCTAAGCTGCTAGATTACAGAAATGAATCACTAAATGTAACTAATTGCACATCTTTAAAAAAAAAGTAGGTAATAATTTTCAATTGGACTGTCCAGTGAAAAACTCAGCACTATTTCAGCAGCTTCAGGACTCCAGTATGTCAAAAACAAAGGGAAGAAAGCTCAGACCAAAATGCCTATAATTAGTAAAGAGTATAATAGATTTACCTACTAGCTCAATTAACTCCAATTTCACACCTCTTGTTCATCCCATATCTCACTTCTTCAAATATCCTACTAGCTCTAGCAGTTATGACACATTTGAATGGAGATAATTATATGTATATTATTATTATTGAAGTCAGGCGTAATAGTGTACACCTGCAATCCCAGCACTTGAGAGGCTGAGACAAGATGATTGCCATGAGTTTGTAAGGCCAGTCTGGGCTACATAGTAAGTTCAAGGGCAGCTTAGACATAGCAAGACCCCGTCTCAAAAAAAATTTATTTATTTTTTAATATATTTGGCACAGGGTCTCATTACACAGCTAGGACTCACAGCGATCTTCCCGTTTTTAGCCTCCCCAGCACTAGGATTACAGGCATGCACCACCACACCCACTCTCAAGGTTTTTTTTAATTTACACATCTTTTCTGAAACACCTGCTGATGTGTGGCAGCTTTATCTTTCCCTCTGTGTTCTAAATGTTGAATAAGGCTTGATATTGCTTAGCATTTGTATTTATTGAATTACTAAATATTATCTGCTATATACTAGGCAAAAGGAAGTTATTTTTACATTTAGCAATGCTTCAGTCCTCATTCATATAAAATATACTGCTGAGTTAGCATCCAGATTTCTTCAATGTTTACATAGTTTCTCACGTGTTTCTCACTGCTGTATACCAGTATGTAATCCAAATTTTGTCTAAAACACTAGAGGAATTATCATTGGTTTTATGTGCTTGACAAAGCAGGAACCAATGAAGTAAAACCCTTTCTTTTGGTGGCAGGGGAACAGTATACTTGATTGCCAGGCATCCATTTTTATTTATTTATTTTTGGTGGTAGTGGTACCAGGGATCGAACTCAGGATCTTAAGCTTGCCAGGCAAGCACTTATTTTACTGAGCTATCTCCCTGGCCCCCTAGACATCCATTTTTAGTAAAGGACAATCCCCTGGGATATAAAACACCACACACTAGGCCACCCAGTGAACTTCTCAGAATACAATTTTCCTTGCTTATATTATCTGAATACAAAGCATCAGTTACAAAAACTCGTAACTACGGTAGACAAAAACAGAAGGGTCATTATTGAGACATGTCTTCAAAGCATCCTATTCAACTTTGAAGCAGTGTCTCAAAACGTTTGCCACTATTTCCAGAGAAACTAGCTCATGTTGCAAGTAATATTGTTTCAGGCATTAAAGTCTTGTGTAAGATACTCCAACTGTTTTTCTGATTTTGACAATCATTCATGTTCTGAATTTTGTATCTCCTAGAGGACTGGGTTGAGCATGTGTATATAATGCTGTCTACATGCCCCGGAAAAGCAAAATTCCACAGCCATAGTATGATTGTCTTGTTACATAAATGTCACCCTTCCAGTCTCTTAGCTGAGTCCCTCATGTGATCTCTACCTCTCCTTGGCACCAGACCTGCATCTTTCAAGGCTTGAGAATCTTACCTCAGTAGCCTTTTACTGATTCTAAACAGCATAGCACCCACTATTTTAAAATACCTCTTTTTTAAAGTTGCCTTTGGAATGCCGAATACATTCCTGAATATTCACAAGACTGACAATCTCCATCCACTGAGAAAACGGTATTTCCTGGAATCAACCAAGATTCATCTCAGTGATAGCAAATAAAGTGAACAAACTGAACAGAGCTGCTTCTCTCATGGCTCATCAAATTGTCTCTAAAAGTAATTTAAGCAAGTTACAAGTATGTCCTCCGAGCAGTAACAGCAACATTCTTAGAATGCCTATGACTGTCCAACACAACTAACTTTAAAGGACATTTTCCTGGACACTTGTAAGCTGGCTGGTGCCCTAAAAAACACCAATCTAGAATTCTTTCTGGTCCCTAAAAATTTCAACTCAAAATTGGGGCCCAGAACACGTTCTAACAGGCTGAGATGAACATTAAACATTGATTGTCCAAATTTTATTCTAGTCTACTCTTAAGATTTCTAGAAATTACTTTGATACCTTTTATTCTAGGACTGGTTCCAAGATAAATTTAACTTAAAATGAAGGTTCACATTACTTACAAAGCTAAGGTGTATTTAGAAATGCCCAATGTGACCTGCCAAACTTACATTTTTTTCCTCAGTAAAAATTACTTGCCCTTTTAAGGTTTTCCTTAGCCAACCAGCTGAAACTGATGTTTATTCTAAAAATAATACATTGTAATATACCTTAGGGCTTGAGAGAAATATTACAAAGAGGTTATATAGGAGCAGGATTAAAAGCGCAAGTAGGATTACAAATTCAGGACTAGCTTGGGCAACTTCGTGAGACCTTCTCAAAGGAAAAAGGGTGAAAGTATATCTCTGTGCAAAGGCCCTGAGTTTAGGTATCAGTACCAAAGAAAAACACCCTTAAACTCTGGAGTCATAGAACTGAGTTGGAAATACTCTCCGACTTATGAGGTCCTGGGCAAATCACTAAACATCTTAAACGTATCACCTAGGAAACTTCTGCCTCACTTGAAAATTAAATTTTATAAAGTACCTAATATAAATCCTGACAACAATTGGAAAAAATTAGACATTTGTAATATAGATATTAGAAATTTACCTGTAAGGTCTTAAGATTTAAATTTTGCCTAAATTCAAAGACCTTAAGGAAACTGAACTTTTGCTTTCATAGTTCTTCAAAGTTGTATTAAGAACTTGGGGGTATTCTTCAGTGGTAGAGCACATGCTTAGCATGCATGAGGCCCTGGTTTTGAATCTACGTGCCAAAAACAGATCATGAAGTGTACAATTTATAATTTACCCAGATATATCAAACCCTTTTCAGGCATCATGAGTTTTTGTCACCAACTTTCCTTCCAAAAAAATTTACAGTACAGTGTCTAGAGTTTAAACTTTTCAGAGGTGTGGCATTTCAAAATAAATAGTACATGACTCTAAAATCACATGAAATCTAGGTCATGAGATGAAGAACTGACCCCAATGAAATTATCCAGAGGACTGAGTTCTATCAAAGAGAAGTACACTTATTCAGGTATTAGAATGGGATCTCCTTAGAAACAAGGGCATTTTAGTGGCTTAGGCAACATGTTTGGGAATGGAAGACAGAAGCTGCACAAGTATAAAAACACAAGGGGTGATTGTTTTGATTTTTTTAGGTTATTATAAGCCATTTATCCTCCTTTAAATCTTCATTTAGAACACATTTATTCCATTGTTTTTGTCACTTTGAGGCAGTTCTCCAAGCTCTCTTTTGTCTTTTACAGGGTATAACATATACAGTGAATGCTGTTGAGTGCCACCCAACAGAGAGGCAGATTTGTAAACAATCCTTATTGCATATCCACAGAGACTTTAATCATAGAATCTGGCACTTTTTGACTTCTGGCTTTTCTTCAAAGTAAAAGTGAACACGAAAAACAAACATTTTGAATTGATTTAGGACATCAAGGCAGCCACAATTCAACTAAAACCTCACAAGAATACTTCCCGAACTGTTTTGGAAAGTGCCAAGAATGCTAAGTGCCTGACGTGAGGGGGAGTATCCTGATAGGGAGTAACGGCAATGTATGCTATTGTAAATTTTCATGAACACCAGATTTTTCAGTTACACCTCACAGAGAGGTCAAACAAGGTATGGTCAGGGCAATGATGAGCATACAACAGCAGCGATGCACCTACTTAAAATGTCAACTTACATAAAGCTTCCCAGGATTCTTCCACTGGAGTATACTATTATTTTACTAAAGATTAAGGCATTCACAACACAGATGAAATGGAAATTGTATCACATAGACCAAGTACTTGTCCACATGCACAGCAAAAATCAAAAGTTGTTCTGTTTCAAATCTGAAAATGGTTTGAAGCAACAGAACCTTCATCTGTCCCCTTTTCAAAGAAAACCCCAAGGAGAGATGTTCAAGCACAAATGATCACTTCATGCATTTTATTGATAGTCTATATTTTAAATCTGTAGTATGACATCTTACATAGGGAAAAAGCTTCTTCCTAAAATATAACTATTAATCAAACCAGCTTTAATGACTGACCTTTCAAGGTCTTATTTTGCATTAAACAAGTTAATTTTTTAGCAGGTGTAAAGCACTGTACAAAAAAATAAGAGAAAACTGGGTACATTCTCAAACTTTAATACAAGGCTTCCCAACCAGGAGTTTGCTAGACAGACACTGGGGAAAGGGTGTTATGTTCAGGTTTAAATTGAAAAAAAAATGACATTATCAGATAAAGCAAGCCAACCAAATTTGCTTCACTTTGTACTCCTCTGCTTTGTCTCTCCCAAAGGTCAGGAAGCCCTGGTTTAACAATCACTTCAGTCTTTACAGAACATAGGTTTATGTGCTTCATTTTCAAAGACATAAAGGCAGCCTTTGTTACTTACTGTTCCCCCTCCAAATCCTCTCAGCTTCTTATAGGTTTCAGAAAGCTTTCCAAGTTTGATGCCCAGTTGTTTATATGAATCTATGTAAACACCTATACCAGAGCAGCTCTTCCTGGGCAAAAAGAGGCAGATATATAGCCAGGCCAACTGCAAACCTACTAAATATGTGATCATATGGTTCTATATCTTTAAAAGCAGCACCAGGAACAAATGAAGCTACCAAGAGGTAAAATTCAAACAATGGAAAGTTAAAACACGTACAAACCAGTTAAAAGAATTTTAATAACAGGGCACTACAGAGAAGGATGCTGGACAACTGGTTCACACAAACCTACGTACTAGAATAAATCAGCAAGATGAACTGATAGAGGAATCCTGAAATGAGGCACAGTGGTATAACAGGTTCACTTTCACTGAATGTCTTTTAAAATAGTCAACTCAAGTGACTATAAAGCAGCTCACAGAATTTTAATTCCTAATAAAAAACATCTTGCTGTAATTTTTAGTTTTGGATAGTAGGCCTATTTCTTTTAGATTTGAATTTAAACACTTACATAGATGTGAAAGTAATTATAAAACTGATAAACCTGTTCTTTTATTGACAGTTCCCAACACGCTGACACACCTCTATTCTATTTTGCAGACACTTAGATATAAATTAGACTTAAGAACATGCACATGTTCAGAGTACTAGATATTTTAGAAATGTTCCAATTAAAGATGAAGATTCTTAATTTCAGAGTGCTAAAAAATTTCAAGGGTTTGGTACTGAATTTATATAGCTTTTTTGCTTATTAAAAGTGATTTAAAAATAAGTTATGTATTATTTCCTCAGACTTTGCATTTTTAACTTTCCAAACAAAGGTTGTCAATTCTTGAGTCTAATATTTCAAAAGCAATTTTCTAGTTGCAGAATTATAAGTTATTGAATATTAAATGTATTGAACTGTACTAAAGAAAAAAAACATGTACCATTAACATGTACCTTGTCACTCTCTGGATTACTAAGGTACAGAACACCTCAAAACAGCAATAAACAGTCGTAAGACTTGTAAAAAACAAAAGTGCCCTGCAAAGATGGCATTATGTACTTAATATTGGTAAAATTATTTGACAGAAAACCCAGTAAAACGTTTTCAAAAATAAGGCAGATTACTAATTATTTTTGTTCACAAAGAACAAAGGAGAAAAGGGAGTGGACTAAAATACTCCCATCTTAAAAAAAAGTCAAAAACCACAAAGTGCCATTAAGAATGCAAGCTGTGAAAATGGGCTTGTAAGAAGCATTTTTGAACATTTGTCTAGTCCATGGGTATTAGAGGGAACTGACTGAAAATCATGGCTACTGCATGACCTATTCATATGGTAGATATTTGGGAAGCAGGTGGTTAAATATGAAGCACATTAAGCAATAACCTTTTCATAAATAGACACTACAGTAAGAATACTTGGCATGGAAAGGATGTTTTCCTAGGGAGAGGAAGAGACATTACTTGAGGTAACACTCATAGCTAACCAGTTTCCTAATCTTGAAAGATTGGGTGAATTCCAAAAATCAGGTTCTTAAAAAGACTTTGTGTATCTCCAGGCACTAAATGTTTTCTTATGATCTATACAATTATCACCGACATTCCAACACTAATACGAAGTTTTCTCAATCCCCATCTCCAGTAACATGACTGAGGTATAACTAATGTGTTCTTTTGAGAGAAAATATTCCAAATTAACATGGTTCTTTTCTAGTGTTGCTACAGTCTGCAAAGTTTCAACCTAAACTGTTTTTTGCCTTCTAGTAGTAATAATCTCAACCTCTGGCTACATGGAGTTAAAAAACAAAATATTGCAAGTATTTCATACTAGCAAGTGAATTTTAATATTTAACACCTGAAATATTCAAGGAAATGCAGGTTGCAGTACTTTTCCCTATGCTTTGAAGAATGTAATCTCTCAATATTTACTTATTCCTATTACTGCATGAAGTTCAAAGAAGATCTTAAAGACAAAACTTTTCTGTAATAAAGAAAAAATACAAATACACAACATGAAGTGTAGTCTTTTGCAAGAAAGAAAATGCTCTCCCAAGAACAGGTGCTTGGATGCTTGTGGGAAACAACAATTTGTGTTCGCCACTGCATTTCTGACACCTACAAAGAACTTTGTCTTCAATGTCCAAAAAAGCAGTAAGTATGTTAGGCACAGACTGCAAAATGAAAAGTAGCAAATTCCACTAAAAACACTTGCAATCTTTCTACAGCCAATGGATGAGTCCTATTGAAAAAAGGTGTCCACATGCACAGGTTCAGTACGTGCAGTCTAAAACTAAAAACATGAAAGTTCTATTTCCAGTGTTTATGAGTAGTTCAACACCTACATTCATAAACAGCATTCTGCTTGAGTTACCTTTTAATACTTAACAAGTGAGTAATACATCTTGGGAGGCTAGGGAGGTACCTGTTGTCAGTAATTTTATACTTAGAATGTGCTGCTGCTGGTTTTAAACTATCAAAATGAATTCCCTATAGCAAGGGTACATTTTATTCCAAGAGGAAAAATGGAATTTTTTTTTTTTTAGCCAATCAAGACTACCCTGTAGATCTGAAAACCAGATTACACCCTTAGGAAAGTAGACAAGGAGGCTCACAAATATAAAGGAATCCTGATTTTTAACATGGACAGTTTTTTAAAAATAAAAGGTATCACATAAGCGCCACAGTGCGATCTGCTTACATTAAAAAAAATAAGTGAAGCTTTGTTTGGATACTATTTCCCTGCAAGAGCAGTACATATCCTTAGCAAACAGCTACTGTAATTACAATTTCCTTGATACTTAGTAGGACTGAAAGCCAGAAGAAAATTTTGAAATAAACTTTGCACCTAAGATGATAACAGTGAAAGTAGCCAGGTAATTCTGAAAGCACACTAATTTATCTTGTATTTAATTTTACCTGGGTAATTAGCTCATTTTTTTAGTGGTGGTGTTAAGGCCAAAGGATGCATTCAATTCTTCTGGCCCATTAGCTTTCCCCAGAAAAACCATCTGCTCTACAGCCAGAATAATCCTGACCCCAACTGTCTCAAGAGAACTTGGTCAAGAGTTGCTGGGGTTATCACAAATCTATTCTTACTACCAAACAACATAAAGTGCATGTCCATAGACAGCAAGTCAGCAGCCTCATGTTCAAATATAGGCAGCGCAACTAAAATGTGAATTTAAAATAACTCAATATGATTTACTTTAAAGGTTTTTTTAAAAAAAAACCTTAATTCTTAAAAAGGTATTTAAATGTGACATGTTAATCTGCATTAGAGAAAGTAATGAAATCTTAACAAGTATGAACTAGTACGTTACCTGACAAAGTTCAAAACCAGGCACATCTGAGACTTTCCTATCAGCACTCATCTGTACCACTGCAATTCTTCCACTAAAAGTGGTTTAGTCTTTCCACAATTTGTTTAATTTGAGAAGCACACTTGTAAAAACATCAATTTAACTTGTGCTAAGTGGCAATGGTTTATTTTCCTTAAATCAAAGACAGCTCTGCCACATTTGCTCAACTGCTTCCTCTATTCAAGTAAATACCAAGTCAAGCTGCTGCTGTTGCTCTCAGCATATGAAACCAGTTAATGTCTTCATTACTGTCATCACAAAAACTCTTCAGATTAGTTTTCTGTACTCACATCTTTCACTACCTGCATAAATCCAAGTTAAAACACACATTTACATTTGTATATCAGTTTGATTCTGTATGGTCCTTTTAATGTCACAGTAGCTGTTCACATATAATATTATAGATATGTTCTGCTCTTGACATCTACACATTTTATACTTTGTTTGGTGTGTTCTTTACTATGTTGAGTCACAAAAAGCAGTTTTCTCATTTCTAAGCATGGTACTTTACAATTTTTAATGCATTAATACAACAGTGCATTGGAAAAGTACTGCACCTCTACAAAATAGCTTTACATCTTTAAACAAATGAATGTGAATTTTTTTCACTTACACAAGCATAGGCTTTTTAATATTTCCACAAGATAAATATCTCAAACTATAAGCTCACTCTATAGTATGCCACAGTAATGGGCTTAGGAGACAGTCATACACTTAGAAGATTCTATCTTTAGTGTTATTTACACTGACATGTCCAGTATCACCAAGTCTGAGGTGAATAAACATTCAGAATGTGGCTGAATCTTGGTTAACTAATAGCTGGGAATGGCATACTTTTAAGTAATCACTTATGAAACACACATTATAACTTAGTCTTAAGTGGGAATTTCCGTAACTCCTTTCTCCTATGGCATGGGAAACTTCAAAGATCAACATGAAACAGACAGGAGCCATTGCTAAGGCAGATTTTTAAGGTAACAAAAGAGAAACTTACAAGTATACATAATCAAGTATCGGTAACAGAGAGGCTACCAATTCATTTTTAGGTCCTAAAATGTTTTAAAATATTTCCTTATTCTGAAACAGAAATTAGAGAAAAGGACGTTTCTTTCAGAAAAAATGACTCAATTCAGGTTGTTACATTACATTTAAGCACCACTCAAAAAGTGGACATAGAGCAAGTGATTCCTGTTTGCCCATCACTACACAGCTAAGAGCTGAGAGTTCAGATGGTAATTACACAACACTTTCTCTGTTACCAGAAGCTAAGACTGCTCTGCGACAAATGGGACAGGTAGAATTCTCAGATAACCAGCGATCAATGCAGTGGACATGGTACTCATGGGAGCAAGGTAGTTTACGAAGTTTGTTGCCTTCTGTGTATTCTGTAATGCAAACACTACAGGTTTTTAATGCATCGTTTTCACCAAAACTTCTCATTGCCAAGTTGTCAATCTGTTCTTTGGTGAGTCCTCTGGGTTGGTCATCATCATCCTCATTTAAGAGGAAAAACTGAGCCAGACTAAGGAATGGTAAAGAGCCACTTTCATCAAATGTGACTGGGGCTCTATGTCGACCCTCTCTCCTGGCACCTAATGCTGAGCTTCCTTCATTACTGCCTTCAAACAGCTCTGAGCTAATTTCTGAACTTTCACCACTAGAACTGGAACTAGGACTGGAACCCAAACTGGAACCCAAACTGGAACCAGGACTGCTACCACCACCAGAACTCCCTCTTCCATTCCGCGACTCTACCCTTTCCATATTTCCACTTGGGACTGAGCCACTAGGTTCTGAATCACTGTCACTGTACATAAAGTAACTTAATTCACCAAAACCTGTCATTATCTGCCTTAACATGGTTTGAATTGCAACAGATGTAGTCTCACTTAAACCAGTATTTAAGATTCTACGAATAGGAATCCTGATGGTACTGACATAGGTTCTCACACCTGCCCGCTCAGAACGTGAAAATGTACGTCTAAAACCTCCTCGTTCACTTTCATAAGTAACAGTGTTATTTGGCGTCTGAGACCTCGAGCGAGTTCTGCTAGCTATGCTATCTCTCTGTCGATATTCTCCAGGACGAACTCTTCGGACTTGAAGATCAAGGACTATGGTTGGAGGTCGCTGGCCTGATCCTGTAGATTCACCACTGCTGGCTGCATCTGAAGAGCTTGCTCCTTGAGAAGTATTTCTTGTTCCAGAAGCTGCAAAAAGACCTCTACTTAACAGCTCAGGCCCAGTTATTTGTTGTCTCAATGTCACATGGTGCCGGGTTCTAGAACTTCCCTCAGTCTCATTTACTAAAGGGTGCTCAAAAGTTTGAGATGAGATATTATGATGAGATCTTCGTGGAACTTCACTCATTGGATGCAAAGGTGACCTGCTTCTTTCAGCTCTGGCTCTGGTTCTCCGATGGTCTGGACTCCTACTTCTTGCTCTCCTCTGACCTCTAGTAGGTGGGACTTCTGTTGTTACTGTTTCAGTTGAATTTCGTTCTGACCTAGAGGATCTTGCAGATGTCGATTCTGATCGTGGATTTTCCACTTGCCTTTGGTTATTGTTTTCTGTAATTTCTCCACTAGAACGTCTTGAAGATGGCTCATTTTCATTCTCTGGATTTTGGCTTCCATTGTTTCGGTTAACATTTATCTCTAAACTGAATCTGAAATCACCACTGTTTGGATTAGTCCGGCTCACGGCTCTCCAAGACTGGTTTCCTCTTTGTCCACTTCTTGTCGTATTTCCAGTTTGTCTGACCGAATTAAGCCAGTCTATTATAGAGTCACCATTAGACACATCATCTGAAGAGTCTCCACCTGCTTAAAACAAAGGAGAGGAGAAAAAGGAACTACTAAAATTAGGACAATCATGTAACAGTGCTCTGAAAATTTGCACTAAAGAAGTTCAGAATTTTAAACAAATATTAATTTACAGATCTTTGCAAACTACTACACAGACTTATAAGGGGAAGAAAAATTCAATTGTATTTGAGAAGAGCAAGCCAATCCTAAAGAAATTTAGAATTTTTTAAAAAGAGAATATGGAGAAGTCTATTTTCAGTATTTTACAATATACAGAGGTTAGCATATCATAGTGAGACCATCAGAACACTATATTTTCAGTCCACTATCAAAACAGTAATATATCAAAGTATATAAACAGTACTTAAGGTATAGTGCTGTTACTGGTACAAATTATATTTAGTCAAATTTTCACCAGTCTACAATAGTGATGGCAAACTTTGTAGCACTTTCAATGACACAAACAGCTCACCACAGCACATATGCCAAAGGTTTGCCACAACTGGTCTGTAACATTATCTTTATTACCCTTTTGGACTAAGTACTTTTGGTAGCACATGAGTATTTTTCCCCGAACTGGGGCTTGAATCCAAAGCCTCATATACACAAGGAAAGCACTTTACCCCTGAACTACATTCCACACTCATACAAAGTTGTTTTAAAATACAAGGTTACTGTAACCATAGCAAAACTATATAATAAGATTTAAAACTGAGGCTGGGGGTAGAGGTGCACACTTGTAATTTAGGTGGCTGAGGCTTGAGGACCACCAAGTTTTTTTTAATTATAAAAAAATCTTTATTTATTTGGTACAGGGTCCCACTACGCAGCTCAAACTCATAGTGATCCTCCTTTCTCAGCCTCCTCGGTACCGGGATTAGTCATGCATCATCATACCTGGTTTCAGTAGCTGGCATGGCATGTGGTACCAGGGATCAAACCTGGTTCCTTGCACTTGCCAAGCAGGTGCTTAGACTGCTAAGCTATTTCCCTAGCCTGGATCACAAGTTTGAGTCTAGCCTGGGCAACTTAAAGTGAGACCTTGTCTCAAAATAATAAATTAAAACAAGGACTGGGGATGCAGCTCAGTGTGTTGGCCCTGGCTTCAATTCTCAGTACCCCTGCCAAAAAGATTTTAAATTGACATGAAAATGAAGACCAGATCAAATGAGTAACCTGAACCGAGTGTAACAAATAAAATGGCATGTAAAGAACAAAACTACTGTCACAGTTCTTAGGTTGTATGATTAAGCCAGGGAGATGGCTCAGTGGAATAAGTGCTTCCCCGGCAAGTGCAAGGTTCTGAGTTCAATCCACAGTTCCGCAAAAAAAAAAAAAGAGTGGTTATATAGTTAAATTCCTTACTTCATGCCAGGAAATACCAAACCTAAGGTTACAGCAGGATTTCTCAGCAGTATTATAACTTTTGAGTCATTATTTCTGACAGCTGTGCTGTGCATTATACGATATCAGGATGTTTGGTCGTACGATGTCCTCAATACCACAGGGGGTCAAAATTACAACTCGCTGAGAACCACCGTGATAGATAAGGTAGCATTTCTTCCAGCTAGTGAAGAAACCACTTATCTAAATTAGGGATTGAATGGGAAATTTCGATGGAGGGTAAAAACCAAGGAAAAATATCACATTTAGACAGGCTATTTTGCACTGTCCCTCAATTAATGCAAACAATCCAAAGGTGAGACAGAAAAAAATATGCTGACAATTCTCACCAAATAACAAGAAAACACTACTTCTCTTTTTAAGAGAAGTTACTTAGCATCACATTAATTTTTGCCATTTTTATATAATCCTTGGCTAACATTTACTATTATAAAATTCTTATCGTTCCATCCTCTACCCACCTCCCAAAGCAAAATATACCTCTATTTTCATCTGAGTTTTGTGGTGGTGGACCCTCTTTAATTTGTTGTAGTCTTCTCAGCAACTCTTCCTCAGTACTTTCTCCTGTAAGTTTAAAATTATTTACCAAGTTACAAATAAAAATCAGTGACTTTCAAACTCAACAGCGTAAAGAACAAGTTAGAGGAATGACAAGCACTTCATCAGTGATCCAGTGATCTGACACATAATGATTATGAAAGAAAAAATTTGTGGTACTGAGAATGGAAAGCAGGGATGCTCTACTTCAGATCTACACCCTCAGACCTTTATAATTTTTATTATGAGACAAGGACATGCTACATTGCTCCAGCTGGATGCCACTCTCCTGGCTCAGCCTCATGAGTGGTAGAGATTATAGACCTCTACCACCATGACTGGCTATAAAAGAAATCTCATGTTTGGCAGCCAGGTATGGTGATGCATGCCTATAATCCCAGCACTCAGGAGGCTGAGGCAGGAGGATTGCAACCTTGAGCCCAGCCTGGGAACCTTAGCAAGAACCCATCTCAAACTGCAAAATGTTAAATGCAAAATTTATTAAAGTATGAAAAGGAAGAAAGCCAGTGACTTTTAACTCTGAGAAACCTAGGAATGAATAGGGACCAGAACAAAGTCCAGTACTTTCAGATGAAATATATATATATATATATATATATATATATATATATAATCTGTTTCTGGGGTTAGATGTATAGTTTAGTGGTAGAGCAAGTGCTCAGCATGCATGAGGCCCTGGGTTCAGTTCCTAGCATCACACAGAAAAGTCTTTTCAGTACACATGTATCTAACCTTTCAAAACTGCAACTCTTTAAGATGTAAGCTTTGTTATGTACATTTTAAAATGAAGAAACAGTAAGAGAGAGACTGATTTGCTAGACACTACCAAATAACAGGGCTAGAACTCCAACTAAGGAATTCTGATTCAAGTCTGATACTATTAGATGAAAATAGGCTCCATTTGTCAAAAGCCAAACTAAAATTTTACCTACAATTTATTCAGTTACCCTTGAGACATTGTTAAGTGAAATAAATCAGACACACAAGTTCAAATATTGCATGATTCCTCTTATATAAGAAAAATAATGTATAAACACATTAAATAGCTAAACAGTAGATAGCAAGCAACAGGCTGAAGATCTTTTACAAATGAGAAGGGGCCAGAAGATGAAAGGAAGAGAAGGAGACAAAAAGAATTAAGATGTATACAAGCAAGTGCAGGGGCCGGGGCTTGGATTCCCCCCCAAGGCACACTGAGACGGCAACTGAGACTGGGCGTGATGGCGAGTGCCTGTAATCCCAGCTCTTAGGAGGCTGTAAACAGGCACATCACTACGAGTCCAATCTAGTAGTGAGACCCTGAACACCCTGTAGACTCTTCCCTAAAATACAAAAAAATGTGTTGTGTACGGCACACGTGCCAAGTCCCCATGACAAATGCTACTGTTATATATTGCAAACACATACTAATAAAAATTTAGAAAATGTATTCAGTCACTCAAAGGTTAACAGAAAATGAACAGACAGATACTTAGCTTTAGCTAGGATCAAATGAAACTTATTCAGGTAAAACAGAACAGGCACAAAGTTAGAGTTGCCATTTTATTCCACCTGCTAGCTGTGCAGGATTATTAGTTAGAACATTTCCAGAGAATCAGAAATGACAAAAAATAATTAAGTCTATCCTAGGGACTAAAGCTCCCATTAGCCCTTCCACATTTGCATATATGCCTACCAAGTTAAATAAAACAAACAGGGATTACTTGGCTCCATTCTTTGCAACCCTTTCACTAAAAATTTTTAATTCGTAATATTAAAATGTCTGATACAGGGTAATTCCAAATACAAATATAATCAGGTAGTAAATACATAAGTAAACGTTATTCTATACCCCTTATATTAATCATAATACATAATGATTAGAGAAAAATTTTAAGGGCCAGAGACACAGCTCAGTGCATTAAGCGCCTGCCTAGAAAGCACAAGGTCCTGAGCTCAATCTCTGGTACCAAAAATAAATAAAGAATGAAAGATTGATTTTTTTAAAACAGATTGAAGTACTTTTTTAAAAAAAAAAAACCTAGCAATATATATTTAAATCCTTAAATTACATGAAGCATACCTGGGGTGCCTAGCAAATTGTTATCTCTCATAAGTCTATAATCTTCTTCACTCAAGTTATTTACAAATTGATAGAAGGCTTCTTCTCGATCCAGTCGGTCCATCTGACTTCTGCGCTGTGCTGCAGACTGATCACCACTTCCTTTATCATTAGAATCTGAGTTTTCCATCTTGATGAACAAGTGGAAAATTATCTAAAAGGAGAAAGACCATTCTTGAAAACCAATCACACTATATTCTATACAACAGTTTTAATTATGCAAAACTCCAGAATGCAAGTTAAGACACGTTGAGACTTCAAACACTGTAAATGGAATTAATTACATAAAGGCAAAATTCCAGAAAAGCACTGGGAAAAGACTAAGTCAAAGGTTGGCAAACTATAGCCCTTGGGCCAAATCCAGCCATTCTGCTTATTTTTATTCTTCTTGTAATCTAAGAACAGTTCTTACCATTTTGGTGGAATAAGGCTAACTATACTATATCCTAAGTTCCTGAGTTTTACTTTCTGAAAGGGTTACAAAAGAGAGTATTTTGCAGTATGTAAAAAATGAGTGAAATTCACTTTTCTGTGCTTATAAAGTCTTACTAGAACACATTCATACACACTCAAATGTTGTCTATGGCTATTTTTTACTGTAATGGCAGAGCTCAGCAGCTGTTTTTGCACTGTTGCTCTGTGCACTATAAGTTACCACCATGCACCAATAACTTGACAGCACTTCAACTGCCATGTGTATCAACATAAATATGACATTTAAAAATTTACCAGTACATGAGGCCAGGGAGATACCTCAGTGGAACAAGTGCTTGCCTGTCAAGAACAAGGTCCTGAGTTTGATCCCTGGTACCACCAAAAAAAAAAATTCCCAGTACAAATGGATGTCAAATGAAGAAAAAAAGTGGGCTTACAATGTCCCATATAAAGGCACAGTAAAGGTTCCACTACTTTAGTATGATTACAAGGCAAATATAACATTTGTTATTCAAAAACACTAAAACTATGGTAAAGTATTACTATATACTAGCATTATTATACTGAAGACTTGTCACAATATATACAGTATATAGTAATACTCCAAATTCAAGAAAATTTAAAATTAAATATCTTATCAAAAATATTTCTTCAGGGCTGGGAAGATGACTCAGTAGAATAAGCGCTTTCCTCACAAGTGCAAGGGTCTGAGTTCAATCCCCGATTCCGCAAAGAAAAAAAAAATTTCTTCATTAACATGAAATTTTGTCTACAGCATGTTTACAAATGGGTCATTTTTGGGTAGGCAAGCAAAGTGAACTGTCAATAGTAAATTAACAAAATGGACTTTGAGTACAGAAATGAGCCCAGACAGGCAAATTCTGCAGCATATGTTGGTAATCCTCTTAAGTACTTAGGAAGCTGAATGAGGCAGGAAGATCCAAAATTCAAGGCCAGTCTGGGGAACTTTATGAGATCCTATCTCAAAATTTTAAACAAGCTGAAACTATAGCCCAGAGGTAGTGTTTGGTCTAGCAAGCATGAGGTCCCAAGTTCAATTTCTAGAACAAAACAAAAGTAAATTTTATTTTTTGCAATATTGCTGGGAATTAAACCCAGGGCTTTCACAATGAGCTATATTCTTGGTCTTTTCATGTTTTTTGAGACAGGAACTTGCTAAAATATCAAGGCAGGACTCAAAACTTGGGATCTTCCTGCTTCAACTTCCCCAAAGTGCCAGGATTACAGGCATGTGCCATCATACCCAGCAAAAAAGGGTGAATTACAGAACAATCTAAAGTCTGTAATTGCCTTAAAGGATGAATATGCTTCATTAAAAATCATAAAATTGTGGGCCAGGCATATGGCCCACCCCTTTAATATTACTTGCACAGGGGGCTGAGAAAGGAAGATGCCAAATTCAAACCCAGCCCAGTACAATGGCCAACACTGCCAAAAATAATGTACGACTGCGGTTTGCTTAAGATAGTACCTGTGTCAGGAACAAAAGATGAACATTTGGAAGGACTGGTAACGAACACTAACTTTGGACACCAATTAAGCAAAATGTTACCCACACATACCATTCTTCTCACATTATTAAACCTGTAAATTATTACATGTTCAATTTTATCAAAATCTTTATGGATTATTTGGTTTCTTTCTGTTCCCTAAAATTCACAGACTGAAATCATAACCCTCAAGGTGATGGTCTTAGAAGGTTTTACCTTTGGGATGTTATTATGAGAGCAGACCTCAGGGGTTGGTCCTCAGTTCCAATAGGAACTGGGAAATCAGCCCTCACAAGTCTGTCAGTACAGCAGCTTGACTGTGACTTCCCTGACTCCTGAACAATAATGTTTCTAATGTTGATAAGCCACCTAGTTTAGGCTATTCTAACCACAGACTGGAATATGAAATTTTGTTTTGTGGGATAAAGGCAGTCTATATTGGTACTAAAATTTAATCCTACATACATAGCACACGAAGTACCAGAATACTCAAAAATCATTCTTAAGGAGAAAAGATAAAAACCCTCCTCCAGATATAAAAACAACAGAGAAGTCTATTTTGTCATGTTCTGCCTGCTCGCTGAACCTAAAGAACTTCAGACATGGATACACCTAGAGTGCCACTCTATCTGCCATTATTCTTAGAACTATCCTACCATTGTTTAGATAAATAAAAGGAGCAGGTCAAGGGAAGGGGAGGGGGGAGAATCATATTTTTGGAAAGTCGCCTAATCACATAACTAGGATTAATTTTGATAGGAACATACTACTGACATTTCTGACACATACTGTTTTTATAACTTGAAATTGGGACTCTGGGAAGACTAGAAATCAGTACCTTAAACATTCATGTATGTTATATGGACTGGGCATTAAAAACAATAAGGACCATCAAGGTTTATGAATGAAGTCATATTTGCCAGATTTATTTTTTGTTGTACTGGGCATTAAACCCATAGTTTCTTACATGCTAGGCAAGCACTCTAGCACCATGTAACACCCCCCAGCCACTTCAATTTTATTCTGACACAACTCAAGTCTTCCAGGCTGACATCTTGGACCCTCCTGACTCATCCCCTGAGTAGCTGAGATTATAAAGTATGCCCCAACATTCCTGGCTGGTTAATCTTTTTTTTTCTTTTACATGAGATAGGGTTTTGGTATGCAGTTCAGACTGGCCTTGAACTCACTGTGTAGCCCAGGCTGGCCTTGCACTTGAAACAATCCTTTTGCCTCAGTCTCTCCAGTACTGAGATTATATGCCTGTGCCACCACTCCTGGCTCAGGTTAACGTTCTTAAAAGTAGTTAGTACTACGAATGCTAATAACATGAAAGTTAAGAGCAAAACTCACATGTAACACTCAGTAAAAAGTTCTAAAAATGATTTTAGGGTTAACAGATTTTAGAAACAAATCTATCACAGCACTATGGGTGGCTGAGACAGGAGAATCAAAGCTTTGGGCCCTGTCTATGCTATTTGGTGATTTAGCAATAACCTATCTCAAAGCAACAAAACATAACTAACAAAGGAGTTCAACTCCTAGTACCTCCCTCAAAAAAGCATAAAAACACCATGAACAAAAATAAATCTTCCAAAAAAGACAAAAACTTCTGCTAAATTTTGATGCATGAATTAAATAAACCAAAGGTAACAGAAAATTCACATGCCAAAAACAGTCTCAACAGTGACATGAAATCTTAAGAATAACATCAAGGACATTAATACAGAAACTTGAAAAACATGGAAAAGACTTCTAAAAATCTGAAAAATAATCTTGTACTCAGGTACAGAAAGGGACTCAGTGCATTAACAGAAGATGGAAGGTAAGAGTTACACTATTTCAACTTTATTCAATAAAGAAAACTACATTCTAACTGGAAACAATGGGAAAAACACTCAAGAAAATTGAGGCAAGAATGTATAACATCGTAACAATAATCTGAGACATAGGGGGCCTGCCCCTTAGCTCAGTTCTTTAAGTGGCTGCTTCAACAAAACAGTCAGGCTCAGGTTGCTGTGGTTCAATCCCTACAACTCAAGCCAGCCAAACCTGCCCTGAAGGCATTCGGTGCAAAAAAAAAATAATCTGAGACATAGTAAAAATGGTAGAACATTAGTTTGAAAAAATAATCCCGAGTTGGGGATTAGCTCAGTGGTAGAGCACATATCTAGCAGGCCCTCGTTCCAGCTCTATAGTACTACAGAAAAACAAGCAAAAAATGATGATACTCAAAAAAAGTAAAATGACAATAAACTTAGGAGAAAATTCTACAACAGACTATCAGATATACTAGGAACAACAGAAGAAACCCTAGGCGTGGGGTTCATTGCCATACTTAGCTTACTGGCTTTCCATAGGGTTGGTTCTCAACCTTGCCTTGCACATTTCAATCATCTGGGGGAACTTTCTCTGGGGTTAGTGAGACACAGATATTTTAAAAAATATAGTTTTTTTTTTTAGATAGGTACTTGCTATGTAGTTCAGGCTGGCCTTAAATTTACTACATAGCCCAGGCTGGTTTTTGAACTGAAAGTGATCCTCCTGTCTCTACCTTCCAAGTGCTACGACCACAGGTTACAGTTAATTCTATAGGATAACATAGCTAACTTGTTTTCTGCATATGACCTAGTGTTTCTCTTCCTACCATTATGGAGAAATGTAGCCTACCCCAGGGATTCTTAAATGTTAGCAGATGTATGAATCATCTACAAATGTCATTAAAATACAGATTCTGATTCAGTACATTGGTGGTAGGATTTGCAATTCTGCAATCTTTAATATGCCTCAGGTGTTGCTGCTGAACCCAGAGTCACTTTGAGTAGGAAGGAGCATGACAACAGTTTAACAGATTGACACTTGTTGAATACCACTTTCAAATAGTATGGAACAATGTTAACCTGCAAACAGCTTAATAAACTTTAGCATTTTATTTTTTGTTTTTGAGGTAAGAGTCTGGCTGTGTAGTCCAGGCTGGTGTTGAACTCACAAGGTAGCCCAAGCTGGCCTCAAACTTACGGCATTCTTCCTGCCTTAGCTCCCAAGTACTGGAATTATAAGGTGTATATTACCATACCTGGCTAACTTTATCATTTTAAAATGTCACCATTTGGGTGACTCAGTCAAAGGTATCCTAACCAAGTGCATGGACAACTAAAAGTGGGGAGCTAGCATAGATCAGTGGTGGTAAAACCTATGGCATGTGTGC